GGATTAAAAACACGGAAAATCAAGAATATGAATTCTGCAAAAGTGCTTCTTTCTAGCATAAACCTTCACTTGGGGTCAGTTATTCCCCTCTCATTAAAGAATGAATTTGATTTAATTCATGCTACCTTCCAGTAGAGGGAGCTTGAATATATGAATTTTCTGCTCTAGTCTGAGAAATGATGGAAGGCTTTTCTTCCTCGTCAGCGTTTTTGCAGAATAATTTCCAGAAAAGTCAACAATGTTTAAAACCCATTTTAATTCCAGTTTATGGCTTTTCTGATAGGCCTGATATTGTAGGGCAAAATAAAATGGCTGTGGGGTTTTTTTTTAAAAAAAATCTATTTAAAAGGTTACTTTGACTAGTAAAATTAATAAGAATGTTCTAAAAATGGGCATGTTAACTTGAAACAAGTAGAAGCTTTTCCCAAAGGTGCTTTTTTCAGGAGGCAACTGGACTTTCTTGTTTTTCTTTAAAGACGTTTTGCTTCTCATCCAAGAAGCGTCTTCGGCTCTGACTGGACGGTGGGGAATGGAAGGATTTATATTCCTTGAAGACCGCTGGTCATTTGCATTCTTTTAGCAAGTCGTTGAGGCTACTTGGAGATTTACCTGTGTCCTCAGGGTCACCTTAGTAGTGCAAATGGGGTCTTGGCTGTAGGATGTCCTCTGCCCTGTGTCCCTTCACTGTTGAGGACAGGCGCAGGCTGTTGGGGATGAGTCTGTGTTGTTTGCTTCTCAAAATGAAGTGCAAATGGTTCCTGTAGTCTGCAATGTTTTTTGGAAATCTGTTCATACTCCCCCATCATTCAAAGAGTTTCTTTGTCACCCTCAACTTTCTTTGATTCTTTGGCTCCATTATGAGTCCACGGTTTTAACATATCTTTTCAAAAAAGCAATGGGGTTATGCACAGTTATGTGCCAGACTATGCAAGATGATTGGTGTTTTCTTACATTGCTCCTGGTCCTGCTATAGATAACATGTTGAAGGGCATTGTGGAATTGCATCTTGTCCATGAGCCATGGTGGCGCAGTGGTTAGAATGCAATACTGCAGGCTAATTCTGACGACTGCCAGCAGTTCAATTCTCACCGGCTCAAGGTTGACTCAGCCTTCCCTCCTTCCAAGGTCAGTAAAATGAGGACCCAGATTGTTGGGGGCAATTTGCTGACTTTGTAAACCGCTTAGAGAGAGCTGTAAAGCAGTGTGAAGCAGTATATAAGCCTAAGTGCTGTTGCTATTGCTATGTTCACTTTGCATGGGAAAATGGGGCAGGGTTTAATTGTGCAGAACTAGGTACCGTTTTGATTTTTTAAAATATAATTTTATTGGACTTTATAATAGCACTAGCAATAGCAACAGAAGGATGAAGTTTTTGTTGAGTTCTTGAAAGAATAGTTTTCAATCAGTGCAGCTAGAAGTTCTACTCTGAAAGACAACCATTCTTATCAGACTGATCACAAGCATAGTGTGCGTATCATATGAAAATGGCTGCTTCCACCATTTTGTGCCATTCTGGTTCTGCCTAATGAGCAGTTCAGGTGTTCCTCCTGCTCCAGATTTTGATATTGATAGAACTTCTTTTGTATTTTCAGTCACAAGTTTGGAAAAAAGGTGTTCTATTTGAATTACTTAAGTGACTTGAAAGACCACCTGAAATACGAACATTTGAGTATCCCCGAAGAAGTGATCCGGTATGTGATTTTTCTTCTTACTTTAAGGGCAGATATTTACAGCCATTTTTATTTTTCTCAGAGGCCTGCACAGATTTTGATATGACTGATTTAAACTAGGCTGCATTTTATAGAGCTGGGCACTTTGCATCATCACCAACATGAGTCTCTGAAGCTGCTTCCTGGAGTGTTGTGGTGTCGTTGTCCATAGTGGGCCTGCAACAGAATGCTTACTATGCATGAAAATGCTTGGATGATCCTTCCAGTGAGATTGTACATCTGAGACACTGGAGGAAAACAAAATCTGCACTCTGACTGTAATAATCAATCAGTGGGTTTGGTGTTTCATAACAAGCTGCCATGATTTGTACTTGATACATGTTTTGACAAGAAACAATAGATGGAAACTAATCAGGGAGAGAGGCAACCTGAATTAAGAAGAAACTTTCTAACAGTGAGAACAATTAACAAGTGGAAGAGCTTGCCTTCAAAAGTTGTGGGTGCTTCATCACTGGAAGACTTTAAGAAGAAACTGGACAGCCGCTTGTCTGAAATAGTGTAGGGTCTTCTGCTTGAGCAGGAAGTTGGACTTGAAGACCTCCAAGAACCCTTCCAGCTCTATTCTGATTGAAATACTTGGCATCATCCAAGCAGGAAGACATACCTGGAAGCACACACAGATTATCTCAATGTTTTTTTTCAACCTTGGCAACTTTAAAACTGTTTAGGAGAGGAGCTATGGTCTTCTAAAGCAATGTTTCTCAACTTTAAGCTATGTGGACTTCAATTCCTAGAATTCCCCAGCCAGATAGCTGGGAGGGGAATTCTGGGAGCTGAAGTCCACACATCTTAAAACTGCCAAGACTGAGGAACATTGGAATTACCTTCTCAATGTGATGAGCTTCATAGCCAGAAGATAATGTAGGAAAAATTGAATAAACAGGAAGAGGGGCACTCTTGAAGCAGTGCTCACAAAGTCATCTTCTCTGTTGTTCTGGAAGGAATATCAGCAAGAACAGCAAGCTTAGACTCATTATTAACCAGCATAAGTAATCTTTTGTCCTGTATTTACATGGCACATCCAGAAAACCTAATTAAGTCCATGTTTCAGCTGTGGGAATTGAACTCTTAAGATTTCCCACTCTGGTTGGGAGGATCCATGGCAGTGATTACTGCTTTGTTTGTTTTTATGTCCAATGTTAAACATAGTTTTGTTTTGTAGTTCTTAAAATGCGCTACTTTAAACATGGGCATCTAAATTAAAGACACATAAAACAAACAGAACTGTGACTTAAAAAACATTCAACAGTCTCAGGTACAAGATAAAATAAACTATAGTTTAGGAACAGATAAAACCTGTAAGAATAGCAAACTTTGCATTCTGTTTATATTTTGCTTCTAATATGAAGTTACTCCAAGCGAAAATCAAAGTCTAATTGATGCATCCTTTCAGAATCCTCTCCTCTTCCTCTTCCTCTTCCTCTTCCTCCTCCTCCTCCTCCTCCTCCATCTCCTCTCTTCACCATTTTGTCCTCCACCAGTGAGTTTGGTTTGAGTGATATAAATGAACCAAACGTTTTATCTCTTGAATGTTGAGATTGTTTTTCCCCACCAGACATGATGAAAATCTTCGGATGAAACAGAAGAGCAGATCCCTTCCTCCAGCAAAATGTCCTCCACCACGGCCTCCTCTTCCAACACAGCAGTTTGGAGTCAGCCTCCATTAGTAAGCCCCCCCTGCTTTATTTGACCTTGTTGCTGACTGGAACCTTAACCTCTACAAAATTAACTAGTCCTCCTTGACGCCACTCTCAGGCATCCTACATGTCTTGATGCCATGACCATCAGCTTGACATCTGGGTTTGTAAAGAAATGCAGAGATCATCTTCTATTGCTTGTGCTTCCATAATGTTGAATTCCAATATTGCATGATCACTTCCTCCCAAGGTTCCTATGGCTTCAACACCTTCTATCATCTCATCACTGTTAGTGAGAATTAGATCCAAAATGACTAATCCCCTAGTTCCCTTCTCTACTTTTTGGGAGACAAAGTTGTCTGCTAGGTTTGTCAGGAATCTGTTTGATCTTCCACTTGGTGCAGAGTTTGTCTCCCAGTTGATGTCAGGGTAGTTAAAGTCCCCCATTACTATTGTGATGTTGTGCTTCCTACATACCTTAGTTAGCTGACTAGCAAAAAGTTCATCTATTTCCTGTGTTTGGTTGGTTGGCCTATAGTATACACCTATGGCAATGTCATTTCCCCCCCCCTTTTATATTGACCCAAATGCATTCAAGACTCTAGAAAGAGTACAGAGAAGAGCAACAAAGATGATTAGGGGACTGGAGGCTAAAGCATATAAGGAACGGTTGCTGGAATTGGGTATGTCTAGTTTAATGAAGAGAAGGACGAGGGGGGGACATGATAGCAGTGTTCCAATATCTCAGGGGTTGCCATAAAGAAGAGGGAGTCAAGCTATTTTCCAAAGCGCCTGAAGGCAGGACAAGAAGCAACGGATGGAAACTAATCAAGGATAGAAGCAACCTAGAACTAAGGAGAAACTTCCTGACAGTTAGAACAATTAACCAGTGGAACAATCTGCCTCCAGAAGCTGTGAATGCTCCAACACTGGAAGTTTTTAAGAAGAAACTGGACAGCCATTTGTCCGAAATGGTATAGGGTTTCCTATCTTAGCAGGGGGTTGGACTTGATGACTTCATCTTGGGGATGAGATCGGAGAGAAAAAGCTCTTAAGGGGGGGACTTGTAAATAACATCAGATGATCCAGAGGAAAAGGGAATCCTGAAAAAGAGCCCACAGTATAACCCCACCTTGATTTTACTTGGGAGAAGATGGAGTAGTGTAGAGAGAAACTTAACCAGACTATCAAGTTTTCTCTTTTTCTACCGAGCAATGAGAAAAACATTCCAGGGATCCCTGTTGTGTCATTATTTGACCGGATCTACTTCACAGGCCAGGACATTGAAATATCATGAGCTTGTCTTGCTTGTCTCTCCTTCATTTAAAAAATTGGGGATTGAAAGAAAGAGAATCCAAAGAATGCATGAAGGGATTCTTTGTAAAACTTAAAGAGTGATCCAGGGATGCTTCTTTCTTGCACTGTAGTGCCTACTAATACAACCTGACACTTTCTGCCTGTCCGTGTTATTAATAGCTACCGATGGTGTCGATTCTCCTTTGCTTAAGACAAATGCGGTGAGCCGCAATGGTGAAAGAATGATCAGAGAAGGAATAACTGTCTTGTGTTTTCTATCTGAAGCAAACTTATGAGCTTTCCTTATATTGGTGCTTCTAAGTATGATGTGGGGGCTCAGCCACATGGGTCGTGGAGCTGATCCTGAGTGGATGAATTCATATTTCAGCCAAACTNTTTTTTTCCCCTGTTTGGATTGCCTGAGCCTTGATAGATCACACCAATTACATTTGGCTTTTGCTTCCTGGCAATTATGAATGGGATTATCCCCAGAAACCATTTGAATAATGGAAGCACCAGTTCTGATTTTTCAGTATGGTGGCTCTGAGGTTCTGTAGAGGCCACTGAGGTTCACCTGAAAAAGTGTGTTGTAATTATGGAGGAAAAGAATATCAGGTGTCTTGTGCAAAAGAATTGAGCCAGCAAATGGGTTTACTGCATTGTGTTGCCACTGTGAGGACCACAGGGTGCTGTTACTGCTGTTCTTCTGTGGCTTTTACATCAAGGGTTATAATGAAGTGTCAGTCCTCAAGAATTCCCTTGGCTGGTTGTCCCACCTGGTGTCTTTTACCTCCACTTCAGAAGAGTAGGAAGGGGAACCCCAAAGATCTCAGATTCTGTCCACAATCGAAGCCACGGTTTATGGTTGATGGGTGCAAAGTGATAGAACTGGAGGTTAAAACCAATCAAGCTCCTTTCTCCTTGCCTTTGAGTAAATCCAAGGGCATGAACTACCTCACATCCAGGGTTGTCCACAGGGTATGGTTGAAAAAGTCAATATTAACCTAATTTCTGTGGCAATAGAAAGGTGTCCTGACCATCTTCCCTCGGGCATCCTCTTACTACCAGAATACTGATATTATTTCTCCTCTCCATCTTCTTTTCTCCCAGTTGAACTTCCCGACGTCTTTCAGCCTGTTCTCATACAGCACATGTTCAAGTCTCTATATCATTTTTTAGTTACCCTGTGAACCTCTTCTAACTTGTCCATCCTTACCTGGATATCCATGTGAGATTTCCTAGGCATTAATGTTTGGCAGAACATAAAAGCACTTCCAGGATGAATAACAAATTATCTGCATCGCATTTGGTTGATTGGACAGCCATTTGCCTGGAATGTATAGAGTCTCCCGATTCCAACTCTATCATTCTGATCAATGACACTTAGCATGTTCCCCCCAAAATAAGACCCAATTGGAAAATAAGCCCTAGCATGATTTTTCAGGATGCTCGTAATATAAGCCCTATCCCAAAAATAAGCCTCAGTTAAGATAGTCAGCCAGATAGATGCACTTAGTACCGTATTTCCCCCAAAATAAGACCTAACCGGAAAATAAGCCCTAATGCGTCTTTTGGAGCAAAAATTAATATAAGACCCGGTCTTATTTTCAGAGAAACACAGTAGTAAGATCTCCATTTTGGTGGTAGGGAGAACTAATTGGCTAGAAATATATATTGGAAGGGCCTACATAGGATTAAAAACACGGAAAATCAAGAATATGAATTCTGCAAAAGTGCTTCTTTCTAGCATAAACCTTCACTTGGGGTCAGTTATTCCCCTCTCATTAAAGAATGAATTTGATTTAATTCATGCTACCTTCCAGTAGAGGGAGCTTGAATATATGAATTTTCTGCTCTAGTCTGAGAAATGATGGAAGGCTTTTCTTCCTC